TGCATTCATGGACCTCATGAATAGAGTTTTCAAGCCATTCCTGGATATCTTTATTATTGTGTTTATAGACGATATTTTGGTGTACTCTAAGAGCAAGGAAGATCATGCAGAACACCTCAGAATTGCCTTGCAGACCTTGAAGGAGAATGAGCTTTATGCCAAGTTTTCAAAATGTGAGTTCTGGTTGCAGTCAGTGGCATTCTTAGGCCACGTGGTATCTAGTGAAGGAATAAAAGTAGACCCTCAGAAGACAAAAGCAGTCAAGAACTGGCCTAGGCCGACAACGCCAACCGAAATCAGGAGTTTCTTGGGGTTAGCTGGCTACTATAGAAGGTTTGTAGAGGGGTTTTCCTCACTTGCAGCTCCATTAACTAAGTTGACTCAGAAAGCAGTTAAGTTCCAGTGGTCAGACGCTTGTGAGCAGAGTTTTCAAGAGTGAAAGAAGAGGTTGACCACTGCACCTGTGTTAACCTTGCCGACAGGTTCGGGTGGGTTCACAGTGTATTGTGATGCCTCCAGAGTGGGCCTTGGTTGTGTTCTTATGCAAAATGGAAAAGTTATTGCTTATGCTTCCAGGCAGTTAAAGAATCCTGAAAAGAACTACCCCACACACGACTTGGAGCTTGCAGCAGTGGTGTTTGCATTAAAAATATGGCGACACTACCTTTATGGCGAGCATTCCGAAGTGTTTACAGATCACAAAAGCCTCCAGTACATTTTCAAGCAAAAAGAACTAAATTTGAGACAGAGAAGGTGGCTCGAGCTATTGAAAGATTATGACATCAATATCCATTATCACCCGGGAAAAGCTAATGTGGTAGCAGATGCACTTAGTAGGAAGTCAATGGGTGTCTTGGCCCATCTTGCAGTACAAAAGCGATCTTTGGGTCGACAAATTCAAAAACTAGCAAATGATGGAATTAGATTGGATGAGACCGAAGAAGGAGATATAACTGCTTATGCCTTAGCTCAATCCTCCCTTGTTGCGCATGTTAAGGCTAAGCAAGACGAAGATCCGTACTTAGTGAAATTAAAAGAAGGAGTCAGAAGCAAAGAAATCACTGCTTTCACTCTAGGAAGTGACGGAGTTTTAAAGTTGAATGATCGGTTATGTGTGCCTGATGTAGATGGTCTTAGGAAGGCCATAATGGAGGAAGCTCACAGTTTGAGGTACTCTATCCACCCAGGTGCTACCAAAATGTATCTAGATTTGAAAGAGTTGTATTGGTGAAAAGGCATGAAGAAACAAGTAGCAGATCATGTGGCTAAATGTTTGAATTGCCAGCAAGTCAAAGCCGAGCATCAGAGGCCTGGTGGCCTAGCTCAAGATATAGAGATACCACAGTGGAAGTGAGAGATGATTAATATGGATTTCGTAGTAGGTCTACCTCGCACATACCGGTAAGCATGATTCAATTTGGGCTATTGTAGACCGACCGACAAAGTCCGTGCATTTCCTACCAGTAAAGACGAGAGATTCTGCAGAGCAATATGTGCAGTTGTACATCAAAGAAATAGTCCAATTGCATGGTACTCCAGTTTCAATCATATCTGATAGAGGCCCTCAGTTCACAGCGCATTTTTGGCAAGCATTTCAGAAATGATTAGGTACCAAGGTCAATTTGAGCACCGCTTTCCATCCACAAACCAATGGCTAGGCAGAAAGGACCATTTAGACTCTTGAAGATATGCTGCGAGCATGTGTTATAGATTTTGGAGGTAATTGGGATGATCACTTGCAACTTATAGAATTTGCTTACAATAACAGCCATCAGTCCAACATTGGTATGCTCCTTATGAAGCGTTGTATGGGCGAAGATGTAGGTCTCTAGTGGGTTGGTTCTAACCACCAGAGGTGCCTTTGATTAGTCCAGAGTTTGTTTGTGAGGCCTTAGAGAAAGTCCAGCTAATCAGAGAAAGACTAAAAGCGGCTCAGAGTCGTCAGAAATCCTATTCTGACAAGAGGTATCGTGACTTAGAGTTCATGGTTGGTGACAAGGTGGTTTTGAAAGTTTCACCAATGAAGGAGTTATGAGATTTGGTAAGAAGGGGAAACTTAGTCCTAGATTTATTGGACCTTATGAGATTATAGAAAAGAAGGGAAACATGGCTTATGAGCTAGCGCTGCCCGTTGAGTTTTCGTCTGTTCATCCTGTCTTTCATGTATCTATGCTTAGAATGTACATTCATGATGAGTCGCATATGATACCTGTCGATACCATATAAATTAAAGAAGGCTTGACTTATGAAGAGGTACCCATAGAAATTCTCGATAGGCAAGTAAGAAAGTTGAGAACAAAAGATTTAGCATCGGCAAAAGTTTTGTGGAGTAATCATGATTCAAAAGAGGCTACGTGGGAGATCGAGGAAGATATGAGAGAGAAATATCCATATTTATTTGAGAAAAAAGGTATGTGAACCTTAGTTTGGTTTGACATTTATATTTTATTTATTAAATACAAGTTAGCATGTGTTTATGTCCTTCCTAGATTATACTTAGTTGTTGAAGTAATTCAGTTTTTGTCAGAGTATCTCTGGTTATTTAATAATTTAGTGCCATGCCAGAGTATATTTAATTCATTAAAGTTATTTACTTTTTGTAGAAGTGTTGTGCTTTAGAATTTGGTTGGTTATTGTGGTACCTCCTTGCCGGAGTGTAAGTAACTAGTTTATGAGCTGTGTATGGTGCCTATGAATGGCCTGTTATGGTATTTGGTTGTTGTTGGTGTAGTTGTGGTATTTGTGACAGGGATATTTTTTTGGATTGTCAAATTTTCAACTCTGCCAAAATTTTTGAAAATTTAGGGAGTTAGCCAAAATTTTGAGTCCCTTGGAAGAGTGAGTAGTGCTAAGAAAACTCAAGAGGTTCAAGTACCAAAGGAATGATTGTTAGCTTAAGAATAAGGCTCTAGCAAAATTCGAGGACGAATGTTTTTAAGGAGGGAAGATTGTAACACTCCTCAAATATATTAAAGTTTTTTTTAGTAATATCCTCTAGGCAGTGCCTAGGGCTAGTTTTTATATATATAGAAAAATAAATAAAACAATGTCATGAAATCCTGCGCAATGAAGAAAACAAAAAGTGAAACGAGATAAGACCTATTATCAAAGTTGAGAGTTAATCTCAACAATGATAGCACATGAGATCTAGTGTAATTTTTATGTCTAAGAACTTGCCTAATAAGCTCCTTCACATTTGAATCGAGATGCCTCGACTTTGCATAGATAGCCCCTTGCCACATTTTGCCCATGTATCCATATAGTTTGCACTTTAGTTGCCTATCCTGTTGGAATGTTACTGCCCAGAAACAACTCCATGCTTCAGTGTTGATGATGCCTTTTGTCCTGCTCTTTTCAATTGTGCTCCATGATTGAAGATGATTTGTACCTCTCTTCTTGTGTTCCTTGTGTGATTTGCTAGCTGTCTGTGATGATTTCCTTCGTGTAAACTTAAGCCCAGCTCCCATTCCTCTTGCTGAAAGTTGTTGCAATATCCATAATTTGCATAGTGTATGCTCCTTATGTTTGCATTTTCCATCTTCTTTTATACCATCCTTTTGATCCAAATTGTCCTATTTTGTATACCTTTTGCCTGACTCCCTGTATGTGCATATGAATTCCAATTAAAAATTTAAAAAATCCATCTGCATTGATCTCCCCTCTTACTGCCTCGACACCTTTATTCTCAAATATGGACATTGCATTTTATCCCATTAACTAATCTCCTGCCTTGTGTATTAAGATGACGGAAAGAATGGCATTCTATAAACCCCTGATCGAGGGCATAGTTTGCCAAGTGATCAGCTAACTTATTCCCCTATCGAAATATATGAGATATTCTCCCATTGCACATGATCAACATCTGCCTTATCTCCTTTACTTCTTCATCAATAACCCAAGGTGGCTTCCACACCCCTTCAATCACCTTCTTAAGCAACATTGAGTCTGTTTGTACCCAAATATTGGCTATATCATTAGCCATAGTATATTTCAGTGCCTCCAGTATAGCTATAGCTTCATCTTGTGTGTTTGTCACCTCCTGAATCTCCTTACCACAAGCATAAATCAAGTCACCCTGCTCATTCCTCAAACAGTGGCCAATTGAACTCCTTCCTGGATTACCCCTCGATGCCCCATCTGTATTTATTTTTGTCCACCCTTGCATTGGTAATTCCCATAGCACCTTGATAATCTTTAGTTCAGGTGTATAGTTCTCCATCATTCTCAGAATATCAGGCCATCTAAATGGTACATGAGCAATCCAAGGCTTCCTCACCTTTATGAGCGACTGTACAGTTGTGCAAACTTGATAGACCACCCTGTTAGTAGACACTGGCTCCCCATATTTATTGCTATTCCTCCTTTTCCATAATTCCCAAACAATAATACAAGGTAAAGCTAAAAAATAGGTTTTAGTCTAGGAATCACCTTCAATGTCCAGCACTTCACAATAGCTTGATGTAAGCTTAACCCCTCCAGAGATAGCCCAGCATAGGAGAAAAAGTATGACCACACTCTTGTGGCTGTGTAAGATCTGAAAAACACATGATTCAGTGTCTCTTCCTTTGGCATTACACAGCACCAACATTTTGAGGGCATAAAATACCCCATTCCCCTCAATGTATCATCCAGTGGTAGTTTACCTTTCCACAACTTCTACATGAAGAATGAGATTTTAAATGGCAGTCCCTTAATCCACATGTTAGAATATGAAATAACAGTATTTTTCCTCCTTCTTAAGTAGTGCGAAGCAGACTTAACTGTGAATTGACCTCTAGTTTTTAGGCTCCAAATTGGCTTATCCAGTTCTTGTGAGATTGTAGGGCATGGTATACTGTCGATAATGTGCGAGGCTAAATCATCATGCAATATTTCTCTGAGTTTCTCCTCATCCCACTGTCCTTCAAGCATCACTTCATTCACATTGTGGATTGATTCTAAACAGTAAATTCCGGAGGTGTTACAAAGTAAAGAGCTCCCAAGCCTGTCCAATAGTGAAATCAAAAAAGTGAGGATCCCATTTTCAATTTCCAGAAAATCTGAGGCTCCACAAGGTCCCTACATTCCAACATCTTCCTCCATATAAGTGAACCACCCCTCCAAGGTACCACAATAGTATTCAACTTCTTGCAATACTTTTGGCTCATAAAACAACTCCACAAAGATGGCTTAGTCCTAAAATTCCACCATAGTTTGCAAAATAAGGCTTTGGACATGTCATGTAAGGATCTAAATCCTACTCCTCCTTCATAATAAGGAAGGCATAAAGTATCCCATGATGCCCACTGTCTTGCTCTCCCATCAGTAGAGTTGCTCCAATAGAACCTAGCAAATAGATTGTGCAACTTGTTGATCACATAATTAGGTGGATTCACTGCTGAAAGCAAGTGAATAGGCATGCTTTGCAGCACACTATTTATCAGCACTGCCCTCCCTCCAATAGACAAAAGCCTTCCTTTCCAAGATTGTATTTTATCAAGTACCTTTGTAATTAATACTTCATAGTAGTCCATCCTTCTCCTTGAGTAGAAAATAGGACAACCAAGATAGATGAATGGAAAATCTTGCCTTTCAATTCTAGTAACTCTTTCTATTTTTCTCACAACTTCCTCATTTGTTGAGTGATGCACATAAACTGCAGATTTGGTTTTGTTGATCAGTTGCCCAGAAGCTGCTTCATAGGAATTCAGAATCTCCATAATCAGTCTCAAAGATGTGGCATCTGAGGATGAATATATTATTGTGTCATCTGCGTATGCAAGGTGATTGATCTTGGGACTCCATTTGGGCAATCCAAAACCACAAAAATACAAATTCTGATGTAGTGCATTCAACCCCTTTGAAAGTGCTTCTGCAGCCAAGATAAACAATGTAGGTGACAAAGGATCACCTTGCTTTACCCCTCTAGTTGACATAAAAAACAATATGGTTGTCCATTCACAAGTACTGAGTACCAGTTGTTAGATACAATACCAAAAATTAATCCGATAAACCTTTCTGAAAACCCCATCTTCCTCAAAACCTTTGTGAGGAACAACCAAGACAGTCTATTATATGCCTTCATCATGTCAAGCTTATTAAACACATTAGGACCTGCTTTTGTTCTTAATCTAGTGTCAGTTATTATTTCCTGAGTAAGCAGCACATTTTCAACAATACTCCTTCCCTTCACAAAGCCTGCTTGCTCATCAGAAATAACAGAAGGGAGTATATCAACCAACCTTTCATGAATGACCCTCGATATTATTTTATTTGTGAAATTACTCAAGCTGATTGGCCTCAGATATGAAAAAGTCTGCACCTCCTTCTTCTTTGGTAGTAGGACTAAATTTGTGCGAGTCACAAATTTAGGTAATTCATGTCCACAGAAAAAAGCCTTCACCATCTCTACTATGTCATCCCCAATGATCTCCCAACCAGCATGGAAAAAATTGTCATTGAAACCATCTGGACCATCTGCACTATCTCCATTCAATCAAAATACCGCCCTCTTTACTTCTTCTATTGTAGGCAGCCTTGTGAGATCATAGTTCTGTTCCTCTGTCATCATCGAAGGTACATAATTTATGATCGAAAAGTCAGTAGGAATACTTTCCTCATGGAACTGTTGCTCGAAAAAATGCACAGCCTCATTGGCTATAGTTTCAGAATCTTCTAGCAGTTTCCAGTTCTGTCTTGTATCCTTTTGATCTGCAGTTTCCTTCTTTTACCATTCACATGAGCATGAAATAATTTAGTATTTCTGTCCCCCTATTTAAACCAAGCCTTACCTGCTTTTTGTTTCCAAAAATCTTCCTCTATAGCCCACACACGAATTAGATCAGATTGCACTTTTTGGAGTCTTTCCCGATTTTGTATTGTTGGATTCAGTTCAAATTGAGTTTCATGCACCTTAACTACTTCCTCCAAACTGGCTAGCTTTTGAAATATATCTCCAAAGGTTGCCTTACTCCATATAGATAGAGCCTTCTTCAGTTTTTTTGATCTTATGATTGAACATTATAAAAGGACTTGCGTGAAAATCTGCCTGCCAGCTCTCCTTAGCAACATCTAGCAATGTGTCATGTTTAATCCAGAAATTCAAGAATCTAAAAGCTTTCTTGATTGGACCACTGCTGGGATTGCAACTGAGATGCATAGGGCTGTGATCTGAGCCAATCTTGGATAGGTGACTAATCTCCAAACCTGGCCAAAATTGTTGCAGCTCCATGTTTCGCACACATCTATCCAGTCTTTTGAATATGCAGTCCTTCTCAGCTCTCCCATTCCACCAGGTGTAGATGCTTCCCTTAAAGCCCAGGTCAAAAAGATTGCACGTATTAATACAATGCCTAAAGTGATCTATCTCATTAATATGAACTGGAAGTCCTCCAAATTTTTCTTCTTCATCCCATATCACATTAAAGTCTCCACCAACAAGCCATGGAGCATCAGGTCCTACATTCTGCTGCAGCTTTAAATCTCCACCTTTCTGAATTCCTTCCAGTTGTTGATGTTGTATTGCTGCACTATTATCACCTGGATCTTCTGGATCTCCTGGATCTTTGGGTTGAGCTATAGGATCTTGTTTCTCCACAGAGCTAGATTCCTGGTTAGGTATTGAGAGTGAATTTGGATTGATATGGTACTGATCAAGTTGAAGGGGCTGATCAGTTGCACCCTTTGCATTGATACCATCAACTACTCCTTGTACTTCACTTCTATCCCTCTTGCCATTAACACTTTGTTCCTCCACATCTGGATCTTCTACATGTACTTCTTCCACATCCTCATGTCCTTCAAGAAATTCTCCTTCATATGATTCTTCTTCATGTTGCTGACACCACAACCTACCTCCAATAAAGTTCACACGATCTTTTAAATTTTCTTGTTCTGGGATAACACTTGTATATAAAGATTGAGAGGGGATTTCTTGACATGACTGATTTGTGGTAACATTGGGGTCTAGGAAGGCTCTATTCACCCATTGAGCTGTAAATTCTTTGTTCGTGTTCCTTGAGGGATTAGAACTTAGTCCTTCTTTTGTAGCTTCCTTCCTTGTAGTATTAGGATCAAAAACTGTTGCTGCTGCATTTAGTTTCCCTGAACTCCTAGGACTAGTTCTAGTATTTCTCATCACTTGATTTTGAACTGTACCCTTACCTCCTTGGTTAGTCTTAGCTGCTGCTGAATTCAGGCCTAAGTGATGCTCATCAGTGTCAGGACAACGCCATCAAGGCTTTCCCACCCTTGTTGGGAGTAGCCTTATCTACTTGACTTATTTCCTGAACTTCTTCTACTACTGCAAGTTGATTGTTCTGCATATCACCACTGTAATCACCCTCAAGAATTGCAAATTGATTCGAGGTTTGAACATGACCATCATCCCTAACTGGTACTAATTCTTTACCAGTTTGTACCTGACCATCACCACCAATAACAGCTGGAACTATTTCTTTACCAGTGTTAGGATTGATTACCTTCAATCATAGTAGCATTCTTGTTCTGGACATGATTATCTCGCACCTCTTTCCATTGTTCCCCTATGTTTCCAACTACCTTCCCACTTGAAAGAATCATAATAGGTCCCTTATTCTTATCCTTGTCACTCCCAGTACCTGTTGCTTCATTCCCCATAACTCCTGCTTCAGTCTTCTCATTGTCCTGCCTCATTAACTCTGGATGTAACTTCGAACAATCAAAATCGTCATGGCCTTGAAACTTGCGAATTTTACAGTATTTAGGAAGATAATCATAGTGAATCTTGACCCATTCAGTTCTAGTTTCCCCAGTAGCCTCATCGACAATGTCCAACCCAACTTTCTTTGGCAGGTCCTGTAATAAGTCGACTAGAACTTTAACTCGTGCACAATTTGGACGAGTCTTGTTGATTGATGCCAAATCTAATTGCACTGGCTTCCCCACAGCTGAAGCTAATAAAAATAGAAATTCTTTGACAAAGAAAGTAGGTAACAAGCTGGGAAAAGAAATCCAAGCCATCACCTTAGGAGTTTCCTCGCCTGCTTTGAATTTTGAATCATATATCAGAGTTCTCATTTGATATTCAAAGCCATCCTTAGCATTCACATAATAAACACTTTTGGACGCAAGATATAAGAAGTCTTGCCATAAAGTTAAACGAATCAAAATATGCATGTCTCTTAATAATCCAATGTTGCATTCACCCTTGATACCACATTGCGCCGGAACAATTCTTCTAATTTCATGAAGGTCAGGCCATCCATATGAGAATTTGCAAACCACAACATATTGGATTCCTCTATGATGTTCATACGATCCACCTTTGCCTCTGTAAACTTCACTAATGGCTGCCCATTGACAAAGGAAGACGGTCTCATCGTAATTGGCTCGACAGAATCCTTTGCAATCTGCATGGGGTTATTTAACGTAGCAGGTTGTAAAAGTTTAGAGTAATCTAATGGTGTTTTAGTGGTTAAGTTGTTGGTTAAAGACTGGGAATTTGTTGGGGGAGACAAACCAACCCCCCAGGAGGTTGGTCGCCGCCCATGGTGGCCATGGAAGGGTTGTCGCCGGAGTTCTCCTTGTGATCGCCAAAAATTGCTTTTTTGGAGAGCGTTTAGGTCACTATTGTATCAAAATTATTTTTTTCTATAAAAGTTTCAAGACGCGCTAAATATAGAACTTAATTTAGTTTTTTTAATCTTAAATTATACTTCTATTATGAATTTAAACCCTTGTGATTGATTTTCGAGTTACTTTTCTATTTATAAATAATTGTATATACAATTAGGAGAATGTTATTAATTTTCAAAAGTTGGTATCATTAATTAATAGTTAAGTTAAAAAAAGAAGAAAAAAGGGCCTAAAAGCCCATAAAAGGGCTGTTTGAAAACAAAAGGCTCCAAGCCTTAAGAGAAACAGAACCAAAGTTCTATCATTCACCAAAGAGGATGGAGGGCAAAAGCCTTAGATGAAAAACTGAACAATTCGCTCACGAAATAGAGGCTTCTTATCACGAAGGCAACGGAAAATCTAGGGTTCTTTACAAATCACTTATTCTTGAACTTAGGTATATAAAATTCCCTATTGTCGATTATCCTACAGTAGTAATCGGTAAGAACTGAATAGTTATTCCCTTCTTTCTCTATTCCAACAGTAAAGTTCCGTGTTTAGGTGCGAAACTTTAAAATTAATTAAAATGCACTTGTAGTTGTAGAATCCATTATTTGACTGGTGTCAATTGGCCTGTGTCACGATCCGAATTTCCTACCGTTGGGACCGTGGGCAAGCCAACGTTAGTGATTATTTTACCCTTTTTCCTTTATCTTTAACAAATTACCAAATAATGTAAGAAAACAGCGGAAAACCAAAATGCGGAAGAGCAGATTTAACAGTTTAATTTAATACTAAAACGAAATCCATAATAATACTCTACCTAGAACTGGTGTCACAATTTCACGGACTGTCTACGAATATTACAAACAGTGGTATGAACAAGAAAATACAAATCTGTCTCGGAAGTATATAAAACGGAATAAAAGGAAGATAGAAGGGGGACGCCAAGGCCTGCGGACGCTTGCAGGACTACCTCGGGTCTCCACTGGACTGAAGGAAGCAACCTCGATCTATGGTCCGTACGATTCAGCACCGGGATCTGCACAGGAAGTGCAGAGTGTAGCATCAGTACAACCGACCCCATGTACTGGTAAGTGCCGAGCCTAACCTCGACGAAGTAGTGACGAGGCTACGGCGGGGAATATCAACATATATATATAACATGCAGGAGTTTATAACCACATAAAAAGAAGTACGGAATGAAAATAACCAGAACTTGCATTAAAGGAACACATGACCCAACCAGTCTACTAGTATTCAACTATAACCAATACTTAGGGAATTTCAACATCTCAATAATAACTTCAACAGAAATAAATGCCAAAACAATAACTGATGCGGCACGCATCCCGATCCCAGCATATAAACAATAACAATATAAATATCTCCAATAATAAAAATATTAATATTCTCCCTTATTCCTCCTTGTTGCGGCGCGTAACCCGATCCCACATGTCCTCCCTTATCAGTCCTTGTTGCAGCGTGCAACCCGTTCCCACCAGACAATCACAAGTCTCCCTTATTTCTCCTGTTGCGGCATGCAACCCAATCCCAACATATGTATATATCAACACCAATCACAAAGAATAAACACAAGGTATTTCACAAGTTAACTCAATTTCCAGAATTCTTATACTTCAACCACACAATGGAATTTCGCCGCGATTATAAACTTCCATAATGAAACCAAATCAGCGAGACCAACCAACGTGCACCATAAGGCACCGGTGAATCATTATAAACCAACGGGGTAATAAAATGAAGCTACGAAATCAATAATACCTCAACGAAAACATCAACAACTAACATGTAACAACTAAATAATTTAATGAAGAGAACAAGAATTAACATGAGCAGTTAGGCATGGAACATGTGTGATCAAGTTGCAATTAAGGCACGTAAGCATTTATGACCAAGTAGTAATTAAGGTATGTGGACATTTATGATCAAGTAGAAATTAAGGCATGGAAAGAGTTTAAGTAGGTAGCAAATAGGACGAGAAATAGTATAATAGGAAGTGGGGAAGGGAAAGCAAACTAAAAATAGAATTTGGTGGCGCATAGGTACTCATCACCACACCTATATGCCACACACATGATATTTCATTTAGCACATAAGTCGGGAACTCCTATTCCCTCAAGTCAAGGTTAGACCAAACACTTACCTCAAGCCAACGGACAATTCAACACTCAACCACCGATTTACCTCTCGATTCCACCACCAATTCACACGTATCTAGCCATAATTCAAATACATTAATAAATGCTAATTAAACCAATTCTAATGCATGAACATAAATTTCCCAATGTTTTCCCCAAAAAGTCAAAACCCGACCCCGGGCCCGCTTGGTCAAAACCCGAAGTTCAAACCAAAACCCGATCACCCATTCACTCACAAACTCAAATATGCAATTAGTTTTGAAATCCGACCTAAAATTGAGGTCTTAATCCCCAAAATTCAAAAATCCTAACTTATACCCAAAAACGCCCAATTTCCAATGAAAAACCCTAGATTTTTAAATGAAATCATGTAAACAGATGAAATAGATTGAAGAAAATGAGTTAAAAATCGTTTACCTATGATTTGGGGAAGAACTCTCTTCAAGAAAATCGCCTATGGGAGTTTAGGGTTTGAAGATTTGAGAAGTGAAGTGAAAATCCCGTCCAAATGAAGTTTTGATCAGCTGCGGATGTCGCATTTGCGACAGGAGCTTCGTAATTGCGAAGCTCAAAAATACGAAGGAACATCGCAAATGCGAGGACCATCACACCACTGCTGCCTTCGCAATTGCGAAGGAATGCTCGCAATTGCGTACACCGACCTCCGCAATTGCGGCAAAAAGATCGAATGCGATCACCCCCTGCCCAGACTCTCTTAGCAATTGCGAAGTTTTGTTCGCATCTCCGAACAAAGCCAGCCCAGGCCTTATTCGCATTTGCGATAAAGTCCTCGCAATTGCCACCTCTGTTTTCTTCGCAATTGCGAACCCTGGTCTCGCAACTGCGATATCAGAGGCCAACACCAGAACTGATGCCTGCAACAAATTTTTCCTAAGTCCAAAATGTTACACCCCACATTTTCGTACGTAGAAATACGCCATAAGTAAATTGATAAAATCTCGAAAATGAGATTATCTCTAGGTTAGCATATTTATGCTATTTACAACAAGCGATAAAGTAAGTGCCATGAAGGATAAAGGGTACACGAATTGAAGAAAATGAGTTTCGTTGAAAGGTTGTCAATTTGGGATAAAATACGGTCCGAGAATACCCGATATTTATGGACTAGTACCATACAAGGTACCATAGGACCGTGATAGTATGATGTATAAAGTATGTTAAAAATGAGCAAAATTTTAAGTAATTTGAGAAAATTCTTAATTTTGTGGGTAATTGGTTAATTATCAGGTAACAGGACATTACCTAATTACCTAATAAGTGGATAATGATTAATATTTTCCACCCTGCCCCGCGTGGCAGCCACTATGTCTATGTACATATGACTCATCCAATTGTGGGAAAGGTGGCAACATTAAGGAAT